ATTTCATTTTATTTTATTTCATTTCATTTATTTTTTTTTTGTGGAGAGGAGTTTTTTTCCGCCCGTCCTTTCTCTCCTGCAACTTGCAAAAAGTTTCTTTCCCCACCCCTTCGCCCCCTTTTTTTTTTTTTTTTTTTGACTTAGAGGGGTAGAGAAAATAATAACAATAATAATAAAAACACTTTTGCGAACTTTTTTCCAGCTTTCTTCCTCATTTCCCCAGCCGGGCTTCACGCTGGTGGGGGAACCGTCTCTCTTAGTTTTACTTTTTAACTCTTCCCTGCCCCTCAGCCACCTGTTTTTTTATTATTTTTCAACAATTTTTTTTTTCACCCCGTTTCCCCCCTCCGCCACTTTCTCGCATGAATCTCCTAGACCCCTTCATGAAAATGACAGAAGAACAGGACAAATGTATCTCCGACGCCCCCAGCCCCACCATGTCGGATGATTCCGCCGGGTCCCCCTGCCCCTCTGGATCCGGTTCGGACACGGAGAACACCAGACCCCAAGAAAACACCTTCCCCAAGGGTGACCCCGACCTGAAGAAGGAGACCGACGAGGACAAGTTCCCGGTGTGCATCCGCGAGGCGGTGAGCCAAGTGCTCAAGGGCTACGACTGGACCCTGGTGCCCATGCCCGTGCGGGTGAACGGCTCCAGCAAGAACAAACCCCACGTGAAGAGACCCATGAACGCCTTCATGGTGTGGGCACAGGCGGCCCGCAGGAAACTGGCCGACCAGTACCCGCATCTGCACAACGCCGAGCTCAGCAAGACCCTGGGCAAGCTTTGGCGGTGAGTCCGGGGCCGCGCAATCCCCCTTTCTCTTCCTCGTCCTCATTCCCTCCGCGGGGCACCGCTCCACGCAGCGAGACCCCACCCCCCCCTCTGCGGGGACCCCCGTGGGCTGCACGGGGAGGCGACGGGAGTTTTACCTCAGGCTGCGCGGCTGGATTCCCCCTCCTGCCGCTTGTTTTAATTTTTTTTTTTTTTCACTCTTTATTTATAATTCTTTTGGGCCGTCTGTGCCCGTGGGGGATTCTCGCAGTGGCTCAAACTGAAGTGCAGAAGTGCAGAAATCCCCCAGAGCGTGTCGGCTCGCTGCGCAGGATGCGCGGGTCCCTGCTCTGGAAAAGCCCCTGTGCCAGGGGCTGGGTGCCCACGGCCGCCCCGGGCTCGGCCGGGTGCTGCCGCTGGGTCCTGCCCCAGCGCTGTGTCACGCGTGGATTTTCCCCGCTCCATCACTGAGATGTGCAGCCCGGGCCCTTTCCTCTCCTGGCCAGGGTTTCCCATCACTCTGTCCCAAGGAGACCGAGACTTTTTTTAATTGCTTTTTTACAATGGCTCTTTCTAACATTTTTTCCCTTGGCTGGTTTACTTGTTGCTTACCAAACTATAAAACCAAGCAAGCCAATTTTTAGCACTTATATTTAATCTCTTTTCTAATTTCCCTTATCTGTGTGCTTGCACGCTCAGCGCTGCCCACCGATGCAAACTTTTTTTTTTTGCTGGGCGGCATCCGAGCACACTCTGCTTTCTCAGGCTCTGTGATGAGCCATGTTTTACCCCGTTGTATATTTGGTCATATCTGGTTGTACCAAACCTGCATCTTTCCTGCTCGTTTGGGCCGGGGATGCTCCCGCTGCAGTTTGAAACTCTCCCAGAGTTTGCGGAGACTGGTCTGGGTGGGGGAGTTTTTTGAAAGAAATAATCCTGTCGCTGTTGCCTTAGTGGTTTCTTTGTAAGCACAAAACAAAGCTGAAAATGGGCAGCGTTGTTTGTCCTGGTGAGGGGGTGGCATTTGTAGGACAAACATGGGAATAATATTTAGCAAAGGGATTTAAAATGGGGCAGGGGGTTTTGTTTTGGCCAGCTATCAGTATCAGTAGTGGTCAGTGTCTTTTGTGCCTCTGTAGTTGGTATTTTAATACATTTTTGCAACAGAGTTTAGTCTTTTTTTTGCCATGGCAAATTCGTTTTGTAAATAACTTTCTGGTTGCTCAAATCAGCATATGGGAAATGGGGATGTGTGAGTCTGAAAACAGGCTGAAAACTTCTAAGACGACATTAATTTTGGATATTTTTTTTCTCTCCTCCTTATTTAAAAAAAAACCCAAAACATCCCAAACCAGTTTGTTAAGCGAAAATGAGAAACGTCCCTTTGTGGAAGAAGCTGAGCGGCTCAGGGTCCAGCACAAAAAGGATCACCCGGATTATAAATACCAGCCACGGAGGAGGAAAAGCGTAAAAGCTGGGCAGAGTGATTCCGACTCCGGAGCCGAGCTCAGCCACCATGCGGGCACACAGATCTACAAAGCGGACAGCGGGCTGGGAGGCATGGCTGACTCCCACCATCACGGCGATCACACAGGTAAAGGACCCCCACAGGCATTAAAAAAAAAAAAAAATCTCCAGGTCCCGGGCATGTTGGTTTGGGACATGAACCCACTGGCGGGCTTGGGCTCGTCCGCCCCCCAAATGAATATCAGTGAGATTGGGACCATCCAAATCAGGAGTTGTTGCCCCATGAGTTGGTTTTGCCCCAGGTTATGAACATGACCACAGTTTTTAGTAAATGTTTTTAGAGCTGACTGTGCGATAGGAAATCCCCAAAGCGCAGGGATCACGGCTTCCCAGCTGGCCTGAGAGTGGGGAGAATTAATTGCGAGCTAATAAGGGTTAATAATCTGTTGGCCATGTGAAGGGTGCCTGGGGGAGTGGGTCCTGCAGATGCGGCTTCCCCCCAAAGCTCCCCACTCCTCGTCAGTGCTGCAAATTGGCACAGGGCGCGTGTTGACAGATTCCAGGAGGATTGCGAACGTCCTGCAGCTTCAGACGCGTCTGCACTCTCGCCCAGCCTGGCTGGGGATCCCGGCCCCAGCCCGCTCTGCCGGGACGGCTTCTCTGCCTCTGGGACAGCCGGGCTGGCTTCAGGCTGCCCGCAGGGAGAGGCTGAGCGGGGCTCTCCAGATCCCAACCTGCCACATAATTCCACTTCCCAGGCAAAGGGGAGTTTGTGCAGCTGGGGGTGTCCTGCCATGTCCCAGGGTGATCCTGAGGGGCAGAGCATGCTCCCCGGTGTCTCCTCCCCACTGTGAACCATCACCTGAGTGGGTGGCTTATCCCCCAGCCCAGGACATGGTCCCTGGCATGGTCACAGGGGCGTCAGCCACCTCCAACATGGGGCTGTAGATTTAAATCCCCCTTCCTCTCTTGCAATCAGAGACAGGGGGAAGAAGTGTGTGATTTTTAAGTCATCCTTGAAAGAGTTGGGTGCTTTGTGGCTGCTTTTGTTAAAGCCTCGCTCTCCCTTTGTCCCCAGGCCAGACCCATGGGCCACCCACCCCACCCACCACCCCGAAAACCGATCTCCACCACGGCAGCAAGCAGGAGCTGAAGCACGAGGGCCGCCGCCTCGTGGAGAGCGGCCGCCAGAACATCGACTTCAGCAACGTGGACATCTCGGAGCTGAGCAGCGAGGTCATCAACAACATGGAGACCTTCGATGTCCACGAGTTCGATCAGTACCTGCCACTCAACGGCCACGCCACCATGCCGGCTGACCACGGCCCCAATGCTGCCGCCGGCTCCTACGGCGCGTCCTACTCCCACTCGGCCGCGAGCACCGGCGGGACCAACCAGGTCTGGACTCACAAAAGCCCGGCCTCAGTGTCTCCGTCCTCTGCCGACTCGGGCCAGCAAAGGCCACACATCAAAACGGAGCAGCTGAGTCCCAGCCACTACAGCGACCAGTCTCACGGCTCCCCCGCACACTCCGACTACGGCTCCTACAGCGCCCAGGCTTGTGCCACCACCGCCTCCACCGCCACGGCTGCCGCCTCCTTCTCCAGCTCCCAGTGCGACTACACGGACCTCCAGAGCTCCAACTACTACAATCCTTACCCTGGCTACCCCTCCAGCATCTACCAGTATCCCTATTTCCACTCCTCCCGCCGTCCCTACGCGACACCCATTCTCAACGGCTTGTCCATCCCGCCGGCCCACAGCCCCACTGCTAACTGGGACCAGCCGGTCTATACGACCCTGACGAGGCCTTAAAGGATGCGCGGAGCCCCCGAGGGCTTCCCCGACTTATGCACTAATGAAGGAATGAAGACGAAGAGCGTGGAGTGCCGTGATAGTTTCCGAAGTGCCTCCTGAGCCACTGGGCACTCTGCTCGTTGCGACTGGATGTCCCCTAGCTTCAAAACTCTCCAAAAGGACAGAGCTCTATTTTTCTTTAATACAATTTAAAAAAACCCCTTTAAAAATAATTAAAAAAAAAAGGACCGGTGATTCCTTTTGAATAAATGAAGGACAAAACCATTCGACTCCTCTGTGAGGACTGAACTGAATTTACTCGTCGTGGAAGCTGACAAGTGCAAAAGTGGAGCAGGGGGGTGGGAAGGGGGGGGAAGAAAAAAAAAAGCTGTTCAAGACTTTAAGGGTCTATTGCAATGTGAGGAACGGACCAACCTTGAGGGCAAGAACTCACTCGGACCAACGCGGATGAAACTGAAAACCCGGCTATTCTGTGTAACAATCTTGTGGGAACAAACGAGTCTGGTGGGACCAACCAATTAAATGTCTGAAGTGTTTTTTTAGTCAAGAGTTCTTCTAAGCAAGGTTTGGCTGTAATTAACATTTTGTTTTGGTTTTTTGGAAGCTTAAAGTGTTTTTGTTTTTTTTTAAATCTGTTAAATATGTATTTATGTTCTGTATTATTTTGTCTTTTAATTAATGAAGTAATTTTGTGCAAAAAGTAGAATTTTAAAAGATTTTAAAGATGGGGTGGGGAGGGAGCATAAAAATAGTGGAGATGATACAATAAAATGGTGTTATGAGTCTATAGATTTTCTTTGGTTTTTGGGTTTTTTTCATTTTGAACCGCTGCAGCAGTTGTGTTTGAGAGAGGGACCGAACAAATCTGCCCATCGCAGACCTGGTCACCAACAGGAAACTCAAATGGGAATGTAAAATAACGAGGGGAGGGAGCTACTAATTAAATTGGGAGGCTAAAACAATTGTAAAAAGGAGCAGGCGATTTTTCTGACTACCTGCTTTTGGGCGCTAAAATTGGTTTTAAGGCATTGCAGAGTCTTTGTACACTTTTGGAACCAGGACTACTTTATAGGAAGATGTAATTTAATGAGAAATTATCAACTTCTGCTTGAATTTTGGCTTCTAGGGACCAGATATCATCCATCAAGCTGTGAAACTAAAATCTTCTCCACTAAAAAATTTTTAGGTACTTAGTTTTAGACTAATATTTCATTGATATATTTCTACTTCTTCCATTGTATGCTGAGCATATAATAACCATCTATTTTATGGTAACTTGTGCCTTTAAAGACTTTGTAAATCTAAAAACACATTTCAGAGGTTATCATCTTTTTACCTTTTCTATGTTTCCTACTCTTTTTCTAAAAATATTTTTTGCATATTTCCTTTTGGGGACGTGGGGGTGGGGGAAAATACAGAAAACTCATTTTTATGCAATCTATTTTTCTGTATAAAGTTTGAAAGACTTTGGCTGTTACTTATCTGTTCTCTTCACTAGCTTCTGACTAAGCAATGCTAACTTTTGTACAGATCAATTTGATAAAATTAAAAATTGCTTTTTATCACGTATGTGTTATGTTTTCTTTCTGCTTGAGCTTATTTCTGTGCTGAAAAAAAACCCGTGGAGAACAGCTTTGAAGGAGACAGACTATTCAGAAAAAAATGTGTTGACCAAGGTTTTATTTTTTCCTAATGTCTTGGGGGTTTTTTGGTTGTGCATTTTTTTTAACTCGCTCTCTTTCCCTGTAATAAATGGCATCTTACTATGAGATTTTTAATTTTTTTTTCCTTTGAGAAGTATATTTCCACACCCATAATCCCAAGGATTTCGTAGGATTTCACTGAAACTGTTCACATGAGTAAGGGTTTGCAAGGTCAGACTACATGGTTTTAGACCAAGTTCATTTTATTGTGTACAGCACGTAGGAATTTTACAGTAACAAATTCTGTTTTCTGGTTGGTGAGTCCATGTAAATACCTCTTAATTATGATAGCAACAAAATTATATGTTGCATTTCATGGGTTTGGTTTTTTTTTTTTTAAATACAGTCATTAAAATAGTTACATTTGTGACTTTTTTTTTCTTATATAAACTAAGTTGCAGTTTGGTTTCACTGGTTCAGACAAACTGGTGCAAGATTTTCAGGCTCGGCCTTAATTGGGAGGAAAGGGTTGGGATTAGGGAAATTCAGCCTCCTCTGCCTGAGAAATGTGCTCAGGACTTGCAGTGCAGCCCTGTGGAAAATGTTTTAACATGGGGAAAATAAATGTGATGACAATTAATGAAGCTCAAGAACATTAACAAAGTCTGAACAACAGAGTCCCAACGCAAATTTGCTGTTTGCAGTATCTGCCAAGAGCTATCTTGCCAGAGTGTCTGTAACTGGACACCATTTTCTCTGCGCTCATTTACAAAACTGCTGGCAAAATGACTTTATTACACTATAAGCCAAAGCTGCAGAATAACTTTCAGAGGAGACTTTCTTTCCTCCTTTCTCCTCCCTCCAGTTACAATGCAAGTTTCAAGTCTTAATCCTAACTCATGCTCAAAAAATAGATGTGTTTTGGCTTTGCCTGTTCTGCATGTTGAGATAGGGCTTCCTCTCCAAAGTCACAGACTTGGGGGGGAAAAAAGGGTGAGATAGTAATATAAATGCTTATTGTTACTTCTTTTTCTTGATGTTTAATAGCAAATCTTACAATGTCTTCACTGATAACTCGATTAATCTTTAAAACAGAATTAAAATATTTGTATGCGACGGTATTGACAATCACCCAAAATAAATTAAAAATTGCACTGAAGTGTCTCTGGCTCGGGGGGGAGCATGATGGGGGCCTGTGCATCCAGCAGGATGAGTCCCAGGTGCAGGCTTGGGCAATGTTACCAAGCTCTTCCCTCTCTCCCTTTCCTTCTCCTCCCCGTGTGTTGTCTCAGCCCTGGCTCCTCTGTGCGGGGTGACATCCAGCGAGTGCGACGTCCCCGCCACAGCCCAGAGCTGCGGGTGTGTGTGGGGGGACTTGCTCTCCTCTGCGGGAGCCCTGGGCCGCCGTGGGGCCCCTGGACCAGCCTGGCGACTGCACCAAGGAAATGCACAACCAAAATATGCAGATTTTAAATCCATTCGCTTTCAGCCACGCTTGTTTTTGCTTTCTGTAAGCTGTGCAAAGTGAAGTTAGCTTTCACTAACATTTGCAGAAACAAAACGCTATAGATCTGTTCAGTAAGTACAAGCCATAATGTGAGCCCTGGAGACCCCTCTGCAGCTCCTGGAAGCAGCTCCCGTTTGAATAGCTCATACTGAAGAGTGACATTCAACTGGTTTTGGCATCCCACAGAGTCAGGGATACTCGCTCCACATTTCCTGTTGAGTTAAATTCAAAGACGTTACAAAATGGATGTTCAGGAAGGTTATAGGCAGGTAAAATTCACTGGTCTGGATAATCCCAGTGACTCAGGCTTCAAGGTGAGCTGGAAATTTCTAAGAGCACCAGAAGTTCATTCCCTACACCTAGATTTGCACTGACACGTACGAGTCTCCTATTTCATTTCCATGGCAGAAAACCACTCATCAGGGGCACAGTTTGTATTCAGAGAAGAGCATTTTGATTTGAAACTACTGCTGTTTGTATAAATGCATTTTCATGCATTGTGCTTTTCTCCATTTTATGTGTAGATATCATCTACAGAAAGAGAAGTGATTTTTCCATGAGCCGAGCGTCTTCCTGATGTGAATGGCAGCATTGTGTGTCCTGAGCTCGGCTCTTATGGCTCTTGTGTTGGCGTGAATCTGGAATGTCTCTGCAGAAGTCAATGAGATCAGGTGAAACCAAGACCGGCTTTTGACCCCTGGCTGTCAACAAAAAAGGGTTCTCAAGATAATTGCAGGAATACATAAGCGATAAAAGTTCCTCTTTTTTTATTTTTGGTGCAGAGAGTAATGAATGTTGCTATTTATCTGAATTGCTCAGAAGGTACTGTTTAGTAAGAAAGAGGAAATTAATTTTATAGACCGTATCCACATTCCTTCTGCATGGTGGAAAAAGTCCCTTCCCATCCTCCTTATTATAATTTTTCCTGGAGTGATATCAACTTTTGTTCCACATTTTTTACAGTTGGGTATTAACTTTATGGCAAAGAAATTCTGAAATGGCATTTCTATGACAGTGTTCAGCTTTAATAAACTTCTGCATGGGTCAATCCCTGCTCCCTGGGATGACATCCCTCCTCGGGATGTCTGGTGTTTCCAGCTGAGCTCCCCAGACCCAACCCACAGCCTTGTGAGGCCACGAGAGCAGGGGGACGGGCGAGTGGGATCCCCGGGGATCTGAGCGCAGGGCTTTGGCCATCCTCACATGCTGCTCCTGGAAGCGGCAGCCGCGGAGCTGCCTGTCCTCACCTGGCATCTCCAGCCTAATGCTCGATGAGACGAGAAGAGGCATGTGGCCTCCCCCTCCCTCTGCTACGTTTATCCTCCCATTGCCAGTGCTGGATGCTCGCAGCCCCTGGCTACCCATTGCCTGTGATCTAGAAGCAAAAAAAAAATTAAATATAAAATAAAAATAACTAGAGGCATGACTGCTGTTTGGAGTCTGTGGTGTTCAAGCACCAGGAGGGCAGCAAAAGCTGTTTTTAGGTGAGTGGGCAGATGCTGCAACCAGTGACCTGTGTTGGACAGAGCTACACTGCGGGGCAAAACCGGAGAGATTTGGGGAGCAGGAGCAGCAACGTGTGAGCCCTTGGGAAGGCTCGGCGGCCACGGGAGCTGCAGGGACAGAGCTGGGCAAGCAGAGGAGGTGCCATGGTGACACAGCGTGGCACAGCCCCAGTCCCCAGGGAGCCTGGATGAACCCTGACCCTCAGGGAAGGCTTTAAGGAGACTCCAACATTACCCTGTTTTCAGTCTTCAAGAGCATGGGGTTGGCTCCAATTGATTTAGGGCTCTTTTACATCCAAGGGCAAATTGTTAAGCATGAATTCACCAGCAGAAGGGCTCCAAACTCCTGTTCTGGGGAGTGGGAGTGAAAGCAGTCAGTTTCACATCAACTCCTGACCGCTCTGTGAGTGATGCACAGAGGAACCCCAGCTCCAAGAGAGACAACTCCCTGTACCTCACCACCACCCTGCTCTCCCTCGGAGACCCTGCAGAGGCTCCACAAGGTTTTTTGGGGGTTCATCACATGGTGGCCTAATTAATGATGTGAGCTGCACAGGACCGTGGGAGCTAGGGAGACCCAGCCCAGCTCTGGTCCCAGCTGCCTCAGGCGGTGTCAGTTCAAGTTCACGTTATGTGTTATATGCAGGAATTAAGGATGGCACCAAGTGGCAAAGGACGAGGCTTGGGGAGGGGAAGCCATTTCCCAAATGAGTCAGCAGGAGCTAAAAATAACCCCCCCAGAGCCCAAACCACAGAAAATGGTGGTCATTACAAATTGCTTCATTCTTCTGCTGTCCTGCAACCCCAGCCGGCGCTGGAGCCGGCTGCAGGTCAATCCCAGCTGATGGGACACAATGCGGTCCAGGGACTGCTTCCTGACGGTGAACACGGGTTTTCAGGAGCACCAGCCCTTCAACCAACCCAGGCAGCTCACGGTGGGTCTCAGGCCACGGGGTTTCTGTTGCAGAGGATTGGTGGAGAAGTGCAGATTTCAGTAGCGGGGCTGCGGCCGAAGCGGAGGCTGGTTTTGTGGCTTAGGTGGAAAGTGAGTTTATTCTTTCGCAGAACCTCAATGCACGAGGAGGGAAACAGCAGGCAATGTCTTTCCATAAAACCACTCAGCTTCCACTGAAAAATCCCATTTTAACAGGGCTCAGAAAACAAACCTGCCCCTGGCTTCTGCTGCAGCCTGCCAGCAGCACTGCCCGCAGCAGAGCCACCGCGGTGGGATGGGAGTCACCGAGGGGGTGGCTCTTGCCACCAGCCCGGGGGCTCTCGTTCAGAAACGCTTTGGCACTTGGATATACACGGTGGGTGCTGCTGAAAGTGGGGCTCTGCCCTCCCTGTGCTTGAAAGAGCCGCCAGCGTTCCTGCTGACCCCTATTAAGCTGCTCCCATATGGCT